GATAGATAATTCAATTAATATTGGTTGAGATAATTTAGATCTGTGATTACTGCCAGTAAAATTATATCCCATTACGAACTTTCAATCATTGGAAAACTGTAACTTCTATATCTTTATTGTGGAAAAGAATAGATAATGATGACCTTTGCAACAAGCAAAAAATACAGTAATATTGATAGCCTTATATTCGGCATGTGCTCGTGCTAACGCATCAACACCCATTAGATCAATATATGGAAATGATGAACAATCGACAATGATATGTGTCAATTGGATTAAATCTTCTGCTTCCTCAGCTCTTTCAATAGTTCGTTTCGGTGGATGAATACAGTGTCGTCGTACTGTCAGCTCTGCAATGAATTCCTTTAGCAGAGATATTACAGCAAATTTCATTTTGATAAAAAAAAAGCAAATTCAAGAAAGTTGAAGTAATGTTAAGAATAGTCTATTTTTTAATTCCAAAAGATTAATATTAGAAAAGTGCGGAAAATTTTGCATTAAAAGATATGATTATGCTATTTAAATCACGTGCAAATTGATAAATAAACAATAGCAAAATGTTGAAATGCACAAGCAGAGACTAATTGATTAACCTATAAATAAATAAGGCAGTGAATAAGTTAAATGAACGATTAACTAAGCTAGGAGGTCAAAGGTGAATGATGTTATTAAGTAAATTGTATTTGATAAAGTTTTCTCTGATAAAATTTTTTTACGAATTTCTTCGTCATGATTTGCAGTTTCATTTCGTTTATCGATAGTATCATCTGTCGCTTTTTTCTTTTCATCAGCTGTTTGCTTAAGCTTTGCTACAATATTTAACGGATCGAGGCCTGTTGCGCTAAAATAAATTAACAAATTAAGTAAAAATTTCGCTGAAAATTAAGCTAAAATTTTTGCTCTTCATTTTGTCCCATAAATATAACCTAATTAGGCAAAACAGGAAAGAAAATTAATAGATAATTATTTATGATTAAGATTTTAATAAGCATCTTTGAAATTTTAATTTTCTATACGATTTAAAATTATCATTGCGGCAAACAATAAATAAATTTTTTTGTTGCTCAAATAATCAATGTGAAAAATAGAAATTAAACCTATGCATGCTTGATAAGAATAATTCAGCATTTGCAAAATACAATGGTGCATCGAATCGGAATACTTTAATACCCGAAATTTCCATAGCCGCGCGATAATGACCAATACCTTTGAAATCTGATGTTCCCGGAATACGTCCCATACACGTACTTTCTGCCCTTAATGAACTACTGCATATTTTAATTTAACAAAATTGTTTAATTTAAAGAGTAAAAAAATTTTTTTTAGCCATTTTAGAATATGAAACAAAATGAGAAAACAGTGTTTTAAATATAGAAAATAATAAAATGTAGTCTAACACTTCTTCCAATACAAAAGTTGAGAAATAATTTTCAAAAATGAAAAAATGCAATTGTTAACTTTTCATAACAATCAGATCATTCTATCTTAATTAATTTAAGCAGATTGCGCTTATCCGCTAATAATTAAGCAATACACTACCAAAATAACATATCATTCCATTTATTTCTGCTTTTTTGAATGTATTAATGAATGAAAGAGTTGAATAAGTTGGTAAATTAAAGAATGTAAAACTTTTCGAAAATTTTTCTTTTTATAGACATAAAAAATTCATAACGATATTTATGAAATTAAATTTAATACAATATTAAATTTGATCATTCATTTTCAATACTAACTGACATACCACTGTGATCGTAAGACGACAGTAAGAAGAGCAAAAACAACGCCAATTGCAAGTCCAATATTAACATTTATCAGAACAACCGCTGTAAATGTTACCAAAAATATGAACTAAAAAAAGTGAACAACCCGTTAGACAAAATATTAAATAGAAATTAAATTTTCTTTCCTTTTCAAATTTCAACTCTATGTTTCTTGAAATTTAAAGAGAAAAGATTAAAATTTTTTAAAATTAAAAATCCGCTAGTATTACTGCTGCTTAAATTTTTCTTGTCAAATTGTAATTTGATCTTTTAGCTAAAATGACAAATATTATTGCGAAAATATTATGAAATGGCTCGTAGTAAGCAATAAAATGGAATTTCAACCAAATCTAAGCAAAGAAAAGACGAAATTCCAAAATAGAATGAAATTTTAGTAAAAGATGGCACATAAAACTAACGAAATCAACGATCGATTCTTGAAAAAGTGCTCGTGACCAGCATATTTTTAAGTACAATTCTTTCATAGCAACCACAACAATACACGATAATATCGTCTACAAAAATAAATATTTACTTAAATTACTCATTAGCATTTATTCGTTTAATTTATTCTTATTCTATATCCCAGTTTGCAATATGCTAATATTTTTGCATACTTTATATCATTATAGATGCAAAAAGTTATCTTAAACATTATCATACATGAGAAACTTTCTGTCTCTCTATTTCTAGAATGGCTGTTAGGAACGTATATTGAAATTTAAAATAAAATTATAAATTGCAAAACTTTTATTTTATTGATTTATTTTTCATTTGTCATTTTTGCATTCATGGTTTTTTTTTAATGGCACCAAAATATCGCTATATATTGGTACCTTAGGTAAATACTTGAATAAAGGTGCAGCTCCAAATGCAATAATTAATAATATTATTACCACTACCAATGTTGTTAGCTAAAAATAACCATGAATTCAGTTCAAAAGTAGAGTAAATATGATAGATGGATATAAAAAGTTAAAATTTTGTTATCAATAACGCTTATTCGTTTGATTTAGCTCAGCTGCACACTTCAACAAAAGTACCGTAAGAATGGAGGCGTAAAAAGTGTTTATGAATATGCTCAATTAAAATATAGGCTGTACTTTGAAATTTGAAAATGGATGATTAAAAATATTCAAGATGCACCGCAAAAAGAAAAAATTTCATGAAAATATCTAATTCAAATGTCTTGCACATTTTGTGATTTTGATCAATTTGGAATCAGCAAATCCGGGGTTATTTTCGTTTATTTTTTCTAAAATTATCATCTAACCTGCTATACTGTCATAAAAAATATTTTCACCTGTGATTTAGTTTTCAATTTTGCGCTTGTTATTGTTCTACTTAAGGATGAACCGCCAGCAAAACAACCAAAAAATGATGCAACAATATGCATTATACCCAATGCTAACCATTCCTTTAAAAAAAATTGACAGAAAAAAATTTTTTTTTAAAGTTCAATAAATTGAATAAACGAAAAAATATGAAAAACAATGGAAAATTCGGAAAACATCTTCTAATTCATACAGATGAAATAGTAATTAACAATCATTAATGGTAGAGTAATTAAGCAAAAATTTGTTGATTGTAAAAATTTAATTATCAATATTACGAAAGAAAACTGTTAATGAACGTGGTAATTAATAGTTTCAATTGAATGAATACAGGATTACTTTTAGTTTAATAGATAGATGGCATTTCATACCTGATTAACATTAATTTGATATTTATACTCTTTGGCAATTAGTTTTGCCAGTGCTATATGTATAACAAATGATACGATAGCAATTGAAAAAGCAGAAAAAATAATTTGTCCGGTTTTACTAAAATCCGGCAGAAACGGTGCACGCATTCCGGCATCGATATCACCAACAATGTGTAAACGTAAATCGAACGGTGTTCCGGTTGCAAAATAGCACAAAAAAATGGAAAATATCACCTGTAGCACAACAGTTAATTTATGATAAATAATTTAATAGGTGTAAATTTTTTGAAATTCTTTCAATTTGCCGAATTTTTCTTCCTTGGTCTATCTTGATGGGAAGAAAAAGTTGAGATTTTCGCTAAATAATTAATTTTTAATTCGTTGATTTCATAATTATTCATGGAATTTTTACAGCATAGTTTTGATGCAGTATTTTAAATCGAAATTTTATTTTTTATTAACCTAGAGCAAGCATAAATCTCAACAGTGCCAGATGAAATAGTCTTGAAATTTGTTAAATATTTCATGCAACTATAAGATGTAAAATGTATGCCGAAATCTTTTTCGATTATCATTTTAAATCTTTGTTCTATTCGGTGCTTACTTCACAGATTGACTTAATTAATTATGTAAGCAATAATAATTTTTGAAATGAAGTAATAATAGCTTACCAAAATAAATTCCATCGGAAATTTTGTTTTCATCCAAGGTTTAACAACCGGATCAATGACAAATTTCGATATAAGCAAACAGAGAATGCAAATAATGGTACAAAGAAATGTGTGCAATTGAAGTGTACGAATATTTCGAAGAAAACAAATAGTGAACTGAAGGAGAGATTAACGATGGATGATTATGTAAAAAAAATTTTTTTTTCCAAATATTAGCATTTTCCGCATTAACACATAAATACCGCGATGTCCAAAAAGGCATTTGTCAACTTTTTATGTTTATGAAAATGGATTTTACATGTATGTGAGGCATTAATGTTAAAAAGATTATAATATCAGTTTGGTGATAAAGAGGAAAAGGTAGACAGTTGTATGATTGGATGAGAAAATTGATGTGAAAGGATTTTTGCCACTTATTAAATTTATAATGTCACTATTGATTGATATCGATTTGAATCTTCGAGAAAGGGGAACAAACTTTATGAATGTTTATTTGTTTGAGAGTTAAATAAACATGCAAAGTTTGTTTTGCTTGAATGAAATATAAGATATAGCTTTAATTATGTTTTTTTTTTGAATTCATACTTAAGTATGACTTAACAATTTAGACATAATTTAATAATTTAGTAATATAACTTTGAAATTGAAAATGTTACACATAAGCAGATATTTTTGAAATTTCAAATACTAACTCGAATGATTCCGAACATTTCAGATGTATGCGGTACATTTTTGACACCAGTCATTGTTTGAAGTTGACTGACGAGGACATGTATCGCTGCACCAGATGTTAATCCTTCCACAAGCTGATCAGATAGCCAAACAGCTAATAAACCAGCGTTTAAAAGTCCTAAGATAACCTTTAAAAAAGAAAAGTGTAGTTTAGATTTGAAAAAAAAATGAACCCAAAAATTTCAATTAATATATTTTAAAATTAAAAACAAACACTATAAGAAATATGAAAAAAAATGACTGAAAAGATGTTATTGATAACCTGTATTATACCGACAAAAAATGCAATCAATGATGATAATTGAATGGCTTTTTCCGTGTCCGGTTTTTGAGTTATTTTGGAGCAACAAAGTTGATCCGTTTCATTGTGTATTGGTGTTAGTTCGGTTACTGATTGCTCAATTACTGATCCAACCATCATGGCAATAATTGCAAATGCACCTAAAAAATTCATCCCATTTTCTTTTTGCTCTTTCACTGAAATGTTGAAAATTTGAAATAAATGAGTGAAATGAAAATTAATGGAAGAAATGAAATTAACGGAAAGAAATGGTGAAAAGAATAGAAGAATTTCTTCATTATCATTCGTCAATAAAAATTATTAGTGTTAAAAAGAAAAAAAAAAAGCTTTTAGTATTTGGATGAAATCAATTTGGGTGACCGGTCGATGCATGTCGTGATGTTCCAAGAAAAACGTAAATCATTGGTCCGACAATACCAGTATAAATACCATATATCGGTGGTATGCCGACCATTAAGCCATATGCGAGACCTATAAAATAGTCACCTCTGATAAAAATGTCATTTAATTTTTTTATAATCTTATCATTTCTAACTATCACCAAGATTTAGGTCAAGGTAAATTAAACTTCAATTGATGAAAATAGCCTTGTGGAATGTAAATAATTGATATCATAATGCCATTAATAATATCTCTTAATAAATCTTCCTGCCAATTGTATGCTGGAAGCCAACCAATGATTGGTAATCGACTCTGAATTTAATTTATTAGTTTATTTATTTCACGAATAAATTCTATTTCTTGCAGTGCATTTGTTAACGATAGCAACCTCACGTAATTATACATTCACATGGAGTTGATTCAAATAAACAATGATTTGTAACCTTTAGAAAATTCATCCATTCTAAACGTTTCCATGTTTTCATAATCTTTAGCTGGTAAATTATTTTTCTTGCTAATGATAAATTAGTCTGAAAATTGAAATTTCAATTTAATTGGAAGGTGAAAATAATTTGTTGCGCTAAATTTTTTACATTTTGAGTTTGAAAAGTTTGAGATTTTACAATTTAATGATTTATTCTTTCTGCAATGTTTCATCAAATATTTCACACTTATCCGATACGTTTTATTTACCATTTCACTCTGACAGTATTATTATTTTTACTATAATTGTTATTATTATCATTGTTATTACTATTCTCGTTACATTTATTATTATTGTCATTTATCAATTGATAACAATATTTCTATTGTTAATTGTTGTTCTTATTGTTATTTATTAATATAACCATGCAATTTAGAAATAACCGATGATATTTGAAGAAATTCAAAAATTTTGATTTTTTACCCGTCGATAGCCATGTTTTTTATCAAATTGTTCTTGATTTATTGCTGGCTTTCGTTCCGCTTTCAAAGTTAATTGCGTTTCTGATTTTTGTATGCTAGAAATATATCTGCGAGCAAATACGAGTCATAATTATGGTAAATAATTATAAAATGGGGATGAAAAATGTTTTAGTGAAAGTTTGAGAGTGAAAATATTTTAAAATATAAAAATAAAAAATACTTTTTATTTTTTTGACATATGTAAAAATCTTAAAATCATTGGAAATGTAACGAATGTTTCAAACTTAACTAATTAGGGAATTCTCGTAATACTTTAGGAAAAAAGATAAGGAATTTCATACGCTGTTGTCGGTTCATGTTCTCGAGAGGTTTTCAGTTGTGATTTCTGTGACTGCGTCATGTCTTCTTTTATTAATTTATTTCCATTTTTTGCATGTTTTATCATTTTACGCTTCAAATTTGTTGCATCAGAAGAATGCATTGCTATAAACAATCAGCATATCATTTAAATTCCACTTAATTCAATTTCAGTTCTATTTCTTTAAATGGCTACTTAGGAATTTAAAAAGTAGACTACTGAAAGTAGCAAAAAATTACAAGGTAAAACTGTATAGTATCATACATTGTGACGTAAAATTTAAAACACAAAAGATACCGTACGAGTATGATATCATATGTTATTTAATAATCCAATATGGGATTATTGAATAGCATATGATTACATTCTTACGGTAGTGTGATATCTTTATCACACTACCGTACGGTAGATACTACACCCCTATGATATAGTATATAATATTCATACGGTATAAGATATTACACTCCTACGGCATAAAATATCATATTCATACGGTATAAGGTATTATACTCATAAGGTAATTTTATGGACATTCTTCTGCATCTTTTGGGTGGAATTGGAAGACTAAACGAAATTGATTTACTAAATTTTATGCAATTGCTATCAGTCATATCAATAGCATCAATCTCTGAGATCTCTCAAACTATTTTTGGTGAGATTTCTCAAGCTGTTTTTGATCCACATGGTTTATAATCTTCTCAGTAATTGAAAGCTTCGATAGCTGTTTGACAATCGCTATCATAAATCTTTCTTTTGATCATAGAAGAAATTACATATTCTAATTACAATATTAGTGCTGTCGGTATTTTAAAGCAATAGGAAAACGGAATTTTGCAGATATGCAGCAAGTGATCACTTTATTATCTTTTTTCGCCGAACTAAACATTAAATTGCTTGTAATTATCATACTGGAATCTGTAAACGATGATTCGAAAGGAAGTTTTGTCGAATTTAAAGTTTTCGCTTGCGTTGATGGTAAATGACTTTCAGCGTTTTCCACCACCGTCCCTACCTTGGCATTTTCCTCAGATATCTTCAAGTTAACCTGTTTCTTTTGATCAACCATCCTTCGCCTTTACTGCTTACTGAAAATACTTCCGGAGACAGTTTTTCCATTTTTATAGAAGCTGTGCTTTTTGCAAATTTTTGATTTTAATTTAAATTCATGATTTAAATTTTCAACGATGCAATGAAATATGTTAATTTTGTCTTTGCTTCTAAAAATGTATTTTTTATCATCGATTGAGATCGCAGAAATGTGACTTATCATCGATTGAGATTGCAAAAATTACGAATGGAATAAGAGCAAAGAATCCATACACCAACTTTACTCATACATTACATTCGTAATTTCAAATTTTACATTTTAACTGCTAGCTTAGCAGTTGTCATTAATTTGATTGCTTCAAATTAATTTTAAATACTAGTTGTTATATATAGTACGAAAATTGAAATTCAAATTTATTATGATCTAATGAAGAATAAAATACGTAATGGTTCAGTGAGTTGCAAAAATTGTCGAAAATAAAAAATAAAATCAATAATCAACATCAAATTCAAACAGATATAGAGTCATAAAGTGTTAGATTTGGGGAAAAAGAAGGAACATGGAAGATACCATCAACCATTTATGAATATTTAATATTTTTCAGGCAATATAAAAAGCAATGCAAGAGATTCAGAAAGACTTGAAATTGAAATGAAAGTAAAATTGTAATTTTAAAAATAATTATAATTTTATAACTTCACCATCTGGTTGTACTGCAAATGAAATATATAAAATCAACATACTTTAGCTTTGCCTTATGTATTTATCAAACTGTGAGAGGTCAAATTTTACCTTCTTATTGACAATCGGTGATAGGTAAAGCTATTAGATCGTTATAGCTCACATAAGCTTTTCGATCATTGTTAGTTACGTCAGTTTACAATTCTAATAACGATCTAATAATCACGTGCAGTGCACAAATTGAAATAATTACAAGCATATAAGGCTAATAAAAAAAAATCCCAATAACTTAAGTTTACGGAAATTTCCTTAGAAAATTCAAATTTCAAATTTTAGACACAAATTAAAAGTTCAAGAGAAAAAAAATTAGTAATCAAAAAAATGAAATAGAGTAATAAATTACTCTTACGACTGGAAGAGTAATAAAGTACAGAGTAAAGCAATTAATAGAAATTGTGATACTACAGCAACTCGACTGCCATCTATATTATCATCTTCATAATCATCTTGATCTGTGATGATATTCGATTGAACTGTTGTCACATCTTTTAATACAGAATTATTTTCTACTGATAACATTGTCGTATACGAATTCTGAAATGAAAAAACCAATAGGAAGTTTGTTTTTTTTGAATATTTAAAAAAAAAATCCTAGAAAAATTTTGTGATATTCCGCAATAAGTAATAAAATAGTGCTCAGAATTATGAATTTTAACAATTCATTTTCTATAAAACTATATAACCTTATAAAAACCAACAACAAGAGTAAATTCAAAAATTTTCCATACATATATATTGAATAAAATTTGTTTAATAATTAAATGAAATTTTTACTTTAAAAAGAAAAAAACCGTGTACATAAATGAAAATTAGATAAGATAACAGATTTTAAGAATGAAATTTAATTTACCATTATGCAAGATTTCAATATGACATCTTTTAGATGCTGGCAAAGTTTATCATCCTTATCAGTACAGGTGCAATCAATAAATGCAGCACCTTGTTGAGTTTTTAATGTATCATTTAAAAGTTCACGACATCGTGCATTGCAATCACCATGTGCTGCTTCACTTTCGCATTCCGATGTAAATACGCTATATCGTGAATTACACTGCAATCAGTTCATAAACTTGTAAAAAATGATAAAAAGAATTCAAAAATGATTATAAAATGTTCAAAGTATCCAATTAGAATTTAACTTATTGAGAGCTTAAATTTTAATGTTTTTTTTCCATTAAATCATTTTATTTTAAAATTTTGTGTTTCCATCAAGAAGAGTTTTTAATTTTGAATTTATTTGAGATTTTAGAACATTTTTAATTTTTGGATTTTTTTTACTTGTAAAAATTCACACAAATTTTTACTCTCTCATTGAATTGATTAAAGTTTGGGGAGAAAAATTTCATTTTTTTATTGCGAGCTGAACAAAGAAGTGATGAAGTGGAATTTTTTATAAGACATGCACAACTATCAATTGATATTTAATGATTAGAATTTGATAGTTAAAACCAAATTTTATCATTAAAAAATGAAATGAATTTAAGTGAAATTTAAAAGAATTTGCATAAGTTAGTCTCTTCAAGAATGCAAGAATATTATTTTGATTTTTCTTCAGTCATAATTTTCTAGCACTCAGAGATAAATATTAAATTCACTTTTTTTGAGATTGAAATTTTCATGATATTTCAACGGCAAACGAATGAATATTTAACAAAAAATCATTGATCGAATAGAATTTGTTAGAATCGATTAAACTATATTCGTCTACGTCATTATCTAGCGGAACTCGTTGAAGATAGGAATAATTTAAGGAAATAAATTCTATTTTAGAAATGGTTCAGAAAAAATATCAATTTTTAGAAAGTGATTTAGAAAAGCGTCAATTTTTTTAGAACAATTTTAGAAAATGCATACTTATCATAACAAAATCATTGAAATCTTATGAAATTAAGAAAAGTATAACAAAATTTTTCTAGATTTTCAAAAAGTTACTTGTTTATTTGTTCGTGTTAAGATTTTTTTTACGAATATGGAATATGTATGGAGATAAAAAAAAAACAACCAATTCTTATTTTAATAAAATATTGAAATTACTATTGCCTATTTTATCCTTCCATGAGATATCCTTTTTTTTCAAGCCATCCGATTATACAATTTTTTTTTCAATTTTCATTTATATTTTTTTTTCTACAAATTCACCAATTATTTTTTGGGTCACAAGAAAATGAAATATGGGCAGAACATAGTGAAATGAATACTTTCCCTATCATTCTAGAAGGCAGTAAATTTGCATAATTAACTGCAATTAAGTCAATAAACAATTTATATGTTGTATAGAAAGCATGGAAAAGCCTAAAACTAGAAAAGCAGCGACGATATTTAATTTTTGGCTGAATTAATGATTAAATTGGATGAAGAATTGAGATTTCACTAATAAGCAAATATCGCCATCTGATTAAAAAAACTATCTTCAGGTCTATTTTATCTTTTCGTACCGATGAACTAAACTACCTCAATTTATAAAAAAAAAATTGATAGGAAAAAATTGACTTATAGTAACTTACCATCAGATCAGCTTCACAGGCTAATTTTGCCAAATTGCAATAAACTGGCAATTTTTTCGGGATTAAATTACACAATTCTAATTCATATCTACCAGGAATACACGAAATATCGGTTCGTAGAAGTGATCGTCCCAACCGATTTTGATATAAATTCAATACCGCATTTCGGCACTGTGGTTGACAGGTATTTGTCACACTGAAAAATAATTAAATAGTAAAATATTATTTTTGCAATAATCATTTTCTATCATTTGTTATAATTTGATCATTATTTCGGTAATGAATGTCATTCCTTTTTCTTTTCAGTTTCAAACTAAGATTAATTTTTTTTCGTAATAATCAAAAAAAGTTATATTTCATTGAATTTTATGGAAAAAATTTTATGTATTTCCTCGATAATGCTTATTATATTTATATTATCGTTCATTTTTGCCTTACAATTGAAATGTTTAAATTTTTATAAAAGGCGTAAAATAATAAGAAATAAAATAATAGAAAAAAAACAAGCAAATAGAGAAAATAATTATTACTTATTAAGTATTAAATTAAGTGCTGCTAATATGATAAGTTTTTAAGTATTAAATTAAGTGCTGCTAATATGATAAGTTTCTCTAAATCCAATTAAGTAAAATAATCATTTCAAATGTATTGCATAATTATTTTAATAATTATTTTAAATCAGATATTATTAATATTCATTTGACATTTGACATCTTCATTTTTCCCACCAAAGAATAATATTATTTACAGTCATTTTTAATTATTTTCTATGAGACTATTTGATATGTGCCTTTCTTTTTTTTGATTCAATTAAAAATGGTATAATGTTTGTAAACCGATTATGTTTCGATTCGGTCCGATCCCATACGATACGATTTGTCACATCAACGCAAAAGCAATTATTTAGTGACAGAGAAAGAAATGCTTCTAACATTTCCTTATTCTCATTTATTAAAGAATAAAATTTGAATTGTTTCAAAATTAAAATTCAAGGAACAAATCTTTTTTGAGAAGAAAGTTTTCAATTAAAAAAATTTTTTACTTAGTTTAATTTCAAATTTTTAATTATAAAAAAGAGGCTCCAAGAAACTCGACAATTATGATATTCATGTAGTGGATTTAAATTTAAAAAAAAAATACCAACGCAATTTAACTTCAGAAAAAGTTTGGAACTTTCTCACATAATACAAGTTAACTTTAAAAGGTTATTTGATGAAGTGAGAAGTGGCGAGTAATAATGGGAAATATGAAAGTAATATCAAAAAGCATTTGACAATTATTTATATTTAAGAAATTGAAAAAAAATAAATTCAAGCATTCAGTTAAATAAGCATTAAGTCAAATAATTCAACTCAGCAAATAATAAAGTTATTTCACATTTGATAATGAATTCTGAATTTTTAAAAATGAGGTCGACTGAACAAAATGTAATAAAGGTATTTCATATTGAGTGAATGAATTCTGAATTTTTAAATTCCTTTGAAATTCAATTCTTTCTTCCAAAAGCTCATAATTTTATTTTTCAAATTTTAAATCAAACTTTTGAAGTGTTAATATTCCCATAACTGAATGAACCCTCTGCATATTATCGAATGAATCCATTGATTCATTTAATTGAATTCAATCTAATAAACCAGTATGTTAGACGAATTTATTATTATAATTGGCGATTCTTTCATTTCTGATGTATTCAAAATTTACTAATTGCCACTAATGAATGAATCTTCAATGTCAACTTTCTCTTCACGATCACTTCCTCCATTAAATTATTTTCTCTCTTATTATCTAAATAATAACAATGAATATGTTAATTTCCACTGCATTTATTCAATATTAATTTTAATGAATACAATTTTAATAAAAATTTTCATTCATTAGTTAATGATAGGAGAGAAAAATGGGGAAGAGATCAATGAGAACTTATGTACGTAAATGGTAACGTTTGAAACAATGTATAGTATGAATTATGAAAAATTTCTTTTTTGCTTATTTATTTATACATTAAGATGATACAGGTGTAATTAGCTCGTAATTAAAATTATTCAATTGGTCTAAGAATTTTAAAAAACTCAACATATTTTTTTTTTTAAATAAATATTTTACAATTTTCCGATAACTTGAAAGATTATTTTTCTCTAAAAAAGCTTAGCCAAATAATTTGACGAATTGATAGAATAGATGAAAAGATACTAAGTAACTTTAAAACAGCAAAGGTAAAATTTTAAATTACGGAAACTGAACGGTTTATTGAATTGAAGTTGCGTTCAGCGAATTATTTAATTCGTATGATTTTCCATTTTTTTTCTTGCTCAACCGGAAAAATAATTTTAAGCTATAAGTTAACATTTTTATCATCAATAAGAAATATAAACACATTTACAGAAATAATTGAAATGAACTTAAAACTCTATCAATTCAAATGATAATTTTCTTTCCTTTTTTCCTTCCCTCTTTCTCTATCTCTAAATTTAGACCATCTCAAGAAGAAAGAGAAACAGAAAGTTGAAAGAGAAAGTTGGAAATTACAATCAATCGACTATCGAATGTTACACGTTGATCTGTTAAATTTCAGTAAACAATAAATAATCATGCATTACTCTTTAGTCAAAATAAACAAAATGAAATTTGAACATTTCGATTAGAATTTGTGCAAATAAGGTATTATTTAAACAAATCATAAGTGAGAAAAAATTAAAAGTACGAGCCAAAACATTTTAAAAATAATCTTCGAAATAAAACTGGTCCCCATTCATATACCCATAAATATGCTTGTATCTGATAAATGTAATGTTCAATTTGACATAACACTGCTTCCATTTAGTAATTAGTTAATCAATAATTTGATCAATTGATAGTTGATATCAAATCTAGCAATCTGTTTAGTAGAACTGCTGTAATGAAAAGTGAGAAAAGAAAATGCTTCCTTTATTTTAAGCGTTATCAATTTGATAAAGTTTTTTTTTCGACCGAATTTACTAAGATTGATATTTTTCACTTAATTTTCGTTTCACGTAAAAATTTTCCAAAAATTAGGAAACAAAAGAAAGAGAAAAGTGTAAATTTCATTTTTCTTCCTTTCAAATCTCTTTTTAGCTATGAAGTTATTTTAAATCTAGAAAATCTGTGTTCAATTGTTTCAAATAAATAATTATTACCAATTAAATTCTATGCTAAGTTCAATTCGTGCAGTCCTAATTTATCATTAATTAGACCATACTAACAAGCTGATAACTATCATTCCCTAAATACAGGAATATTAGCAACTAAATGCATAATGAATCATCGCTGATAACCTTTATTTTTCTTTTCTTTTGTACCATAAATTTGCATTAAAACTTAATTTTTACCTACTGAAAATTAATAATTTCCGAATTTTTCAATTTCACTATTCAGATTTTATTATTATAGCTCCATACATATGTAATCATATCCCGCACTATTATTTATCCCGAGATATTTTTCTGTACAGCATCTAATAATGATACCTAATAACTTGTAAAATTTGATCTTCTTTGTAAAAAATTCAGCTGATCCTAGAAAAATATCCATTTTTTCCTAATATTCTCTCTCTTTGTTTCTCTCTCTCTCTCTCTTTCTCTCTCTCTTTCTCTCTC